CTGACAAGTGTCCGGGGACATATCTGAGCTCGAATCGAGCAGTTGCTGGATCTCGCTATCATGCACGCGTCTCCCCACACGAGGAGGAAGCTCTGGGAAGATAATGGGAAGCGACGAGGTTTCATATCAATCGAGCTCGTATTTCAAAGAATCTTATTCATTCATTTTAACAAACACAGTGATTTGACCGGTAAAGGCTGAGAAACCAAGAAAAACATTCCAGGTCACTCTGCAAACCGCATCTCGAACGTTCTATTTACAGACGCGTATGAAGAGCAAATGAGAGAATTGGATTTTTTTGATGAAAACGTTTTCTCTGATAACATTGACAATCTTCTTTTTTGCCTTACCCTGGAAATGACGAGAAAAATGAACCTTTGTTAGGTTTCATGTGAGTCAAGAGGCCCTTGTGAGGATCCTCCCAGATCCCTGACCAATAAGCACGATACTGACAATTATAGGAGCAACAACAACAGAGTTGAAGCCCGTATATAGCATTTATTTCCCATCGTAGTATTGAGAAGATACGTGTCTGTGTGTGTGTGTGTGTGTGTGTGTATGTGTTTTACAGCATCTCATATATCCGAGGTCAGCCCCCAACTCACTATGTGGGAGAGGATAATCTTGAACTTCTGATCCTCCTGCCACTACCTCCTGAGAGGTGGTGGGATTACCAGCATCCAGGCATTTGCCACCACACCCAGCTTATTTGGTGCTGAGGATCAAACCCGGGGCTGTGTGCATGCTAGGTGAACATTCTACCACCTGGGCTAAGCCTCCAACCCCCACTTTTTGACGGGAATTTCCTAAAGGAAGCTAGATAGCAGTATAAACAGATGTCACGCGTGTAAGAGGCCCGAGTGCTGTTTTATGAAGCTTCTGTTTGTAGTATATGGCTGTGTGTGTGAGACAGGGGTAGATGACGTCATTTCCCTCCCTGGGGTTTGCATACAGTCTAAACTAAAAAGCCACTGGCTTCATTTACTCACTTCCCTGGTGCAGAAACTCTCAGACTTTAAAAAATGCCACATGATACTGAGCAGAGGACCTGGGTTTGGTCCCTAGGACCCACGTGGCAGCTCACAACTCCAGTAACTCCAGTCCCGGGGGATCCAACGCTCTCTTCTGGCTCCTAGGATACCAGACACATATATACATGGAGATATACATGCAAGCAAAACACACATATGCATAAAATAAAAATAAATGAAAAACAAACACATATGTCCCAAAGACACAGTTAAGCTGAAGAAAGGATATAAGAATAGCAACTTTTGACTATTGGGGCAGATTTGAGCGGGATAGGATAGAAAGAACAGGATTGAGCTTGAAACAAGATGAAGGATCTCAGAGAAGGAGGGGAAGGGAAGGTGCCATTGTGGCCTCTTCACGACGTCCCTGTCCCTCATCTTTTCTTACACTTAGCCTTGCAGAGGATTCTGCTATTCTAGGGAGGTGCTGGTCCTCTTCCAGGAAGTCTGGGTGGAGCCCAAGGTTCTGCATTTCTAGTGAGTTTCCAGGTAATGCCAATGTTTCAGTCCAAGAACCACATTGGAACAGCTAGCTTTATGCCAGGAACTACACCCATTTCTTCCAGACTTCTCTATGCCCCAGGAGTGTATGGGAGATGGGGGGGGGGGGGGGGGGGGGGGGGGGGGGGGGGGGGGGGGGGGGGGGAGGAAGCGGGAACAAAGTGGAACTGCTCCCTCTTCTGTTAATAAATGTCATTTTATGCACAAATATGGACCACAGATAATATTTAAGCGGTCATGTTTGAGGCCTGTCATCAGACAGAAAGTATGGGAGTTTGCAATTTCATTTGCTAGAGATTAATGAGTGCATTAATGTATCTATTCAAAAGGTAGGGCGTTCTTGTAAATGTGCTGATCCTATCGCGGGGATAATGGAATGTGTTTCCCAGTTTGTGCAATCAATATTGATGAGCGTGAAAGAGAAAAATGCCTTCTCAAAAGTGTACTTGCTTAAAGATTAAGGGCTCTATTGTCAGGAAGCTGTTTTATGTCCTTGTCTGGTGTGCTTATTTAATCTAAATAGGCTCATAAACACCACACACGGATTACCTTGACAGAGTAAAATAAATTGAATTCCCTCCTGGCTTTCTACACTCCCCAGGCAAGTTTTAATATACATTCTTTTACTTTGAATCTAGGTTATTTAAGAGTATGTATCAAGAACAAAATAAGGAAGCGTCTTTTTGGATAAGCAGGTACTATAATAACCTTTAAGGTGTTTAAACACAAAGCAGAAGGAAGTGGTACCACTGTGGTGTTTCTGTCGAATGCTTTCAAGCTTCGAAGACAAAACCAAAAAGAAAAAAGATTCTTACTGGCAGAAAACCCCAAGGGTTAAAGATCCACACTATTTACAGGAACTGTTGTGACAACATTTCATTTTAGTTGGGAGACTTGGTTCATAATAATCATGTGTCAACAGGTTAGCAGAACAGGGCTGTTTTCTTCTGAAATGTACATTTTTATTAATTTTTAATAGATGGGTTAGTTTTAGATGCTTAATTCTATTCAATTTCTTTCAAAGTTTGGGTCTTAGACCTTCCTTCCACTCCCCCCCCACTCCCCCTCCCCTTATTGGAAAATGCGTCTTCTTTGGTCAGTTTTCCTTTTGAGACTATAATAAGTCACATTCTAGCTGTCCTGGCAGGGAAAAGGTAATCTAGAGATACACAGGGCCCTCCTTTCAGCCATCAGACTTCAAAGTAGCCAAATCCCAGAGCGATAAAATCTGCCCCCAGGGAATCCTCCACAGGAGACAGGAAAAGCTGAGGACCTGGTGCCACCGAGGGGGACCTCACCTCCCAGGAAGGGATTTCCCACAGTTCTGACCACCTTACAGATCAGAGAGAAAGGCAGTGATAGGTGAAACCACACCATACCCAAGGCTGCTGAATTATACACAATCCTTGCGCTCAACTTAAACCAAAACCTCACGTCAGGGCACTAAAGACTGGCTTCAGGGTAAAGATTGGCTTCGGGGTTGGGTCGGGACCCCATGATCTGCTCTTCCCAGTGTGGCCATATTGAATAAACCTTTCTCTGCTTTTCACTATCGCTTTTGTCCAATCATGCTGAGGACAGGTAGACAGTCCTAGCTTGTGGGAGCACCAGAACCCAAGCCTTTCCCTTAAAAAGCCCAGGAAGATTACCACAATAGTGTTGAGAGTTTAAACAACACAGATTGCCTCGCTGTTCTGAGCTTGGAAGTAACATTGAAGTCGGAGCACTGACTGGACCGTGGCCCCATCTGCTTCTGAGCACCCTCCATTTCCTTGCCTTTGCACCTTAAGTCCTCACTGGGGGGGGGGGGTGATGACGGCGTCCTTCCCCTACCTTCAAACCACCATGGCTGACCACGTCTTCAGCCTTCCCGGTCCATTGTTACTATAAACCGGATCCCGAGAAGCCCTGAATTCTCATCCTGGAGTAACTAAGAGTAGGTGAAAGGGTGTTTTTTGTTTGTTTGTTTGTTTTTGGTCGGCCTTGCTTTTGCTTCTGCCTCATGAGTTTTGCTTACTTCTGCACCTAGGGAGCGTCTGTCTAAAGTCCGAGGCTACTGAAACTATTTCATCTCCCTGAGGGTCGAAAGGCATAAAGATGAGAGGAGCGGGCACCTCCCTGTCAGCTTTTTCAGCACCCTGCTCTGGGGCCCCACCCCAACGCTCCACCCAAAGTGGCTGGTAGTCTCTAGTGATTGTCCTGAGCCCGCACTTGTGCTGAGTTCTAGGAACAGAGAGCCTCAGAGATCTGCTTATCCCGCGGTGAGGTCACACCTAAGCAGGGGCAATCATCTGGGAACTGCCTTGGCCTGGCAAGCACTCGGGATTTCTTCCAGCCACCTGCATAACCAAAGGGAGATTAGGATCAGCCAGATCAGGCCATGTGAAGACTAGTTTAATCTGCCTGCCTCTTGCCTCCATCCCGCCCTCTAAATAGTTGTCCTTCTATTTAAACTTACAGCTCTCATGTCTGTACCCCAAAGATGAAGACGGACACGGGGTTATTTTGTACTTCCCAATATGCATGAAATCGTTATTCCCTGCCTTTGACCACTGATCTTCTCTTTGATTGGTGCCCTGGAGTGAAAGGCGGAGTCTAGTGTAACCACGCCTCCCAGGGCTCGGGCCTTTGCCCTAAAGCTGGTAGCGTTACCGCCTACCTGAGATGAAATTGCACCCATCCAAATAATTCAGGATAACCTATTGAAGCCCAGCTGAAGAGCAGTCCCATTCCTCTTTGCCATGTAATATAACATATCCACAGGTTCCAGTGTTTAGAATGTGGAAGTGTGTGTGTGTGTGTGTGTGTGTGTGTGTGTAGAAGGGACCTTATCCTTCCTACCAAAGTATGCTTTATCATCTTAAAATTTCCTAAGAGAGGACTGTTGCATTTGGGGCACAGATATTTGCACAGCATCTTTACCTCTCAATAACATTCTGCATAAATTAAATTATACATTGTTATATACATAATTATATATATAATTAAATTATAAATTGTATTCGTCATGGTGAAAATGCCACAGCTCTCGCAAAGCAGAGGATGCCTTTTTCATGCTTGTGTTGATTCCATACACTCTCAAATGCTTTGGAGGTCTGGATTCTAAAACCCTCCACCATTTCCAGTCACGAGTTCTGTATCATTTGAGGGTATAACTGCCCTGTATGGCTAAGGGGGCCCTTTCATGACTTATCCAGAGTGTATTGAGATGAATGGAGTCTGTTGAGATAGCTTGCCACTGTGTTGCTCGAATGGGACAGTGTTGTTTCCCCATAGGACATGAGGCAATGCTTGCAGACATTTTTGGTTGTCACATTTGGGAAGAGGGTGCTGTTGTTGCCTGGTGTGTAGAACCCCGGGGGAACGACTGCCGTGCAGTACACAACAGCCCGAAGGACAAAGAGGAGCTGTGGGGACTGAATTGAGCTTGAGCTCCTGGTTCTTACTGCTCTTTTATCACCATTGCAGGAGTTCCTGGTGCCATGCCAAATGCCTCCTGGACGGGCAACCTCAGAGCTATCAAGTGGAATGACATGGAAGCTATGCACGGAGGCTGCCATGGTAAGGTCTCCTGTTCTGAGCTCTGTTGCCTGTTGCTGTAGGCATGAGGATGACTGTAAACGTAATAGAGGGGGTTCTTGCACAGAGAAGGCTGGAGTACACAGACTGATCGGGGGTTGTTAGAGACGCCTGACGCCGCGTCACGTTGTCTCCTGACGATAAGTTTCCATTTCTCAGACATTCTCAATCTCAGAGCTGCCAAGGAGAGACAGTACTTTCAAGTTAAAGCGAACTTTGTCCTCGCTAATTTCTGCCTTCTCATTGCCCCTTGCGTACCATTCCTTTTGGGAGTACAGGGGCTGGGACAGGTGATGTCACCTCCTTGTGGCAGAGCATGCTCACACCTTGCCCCACATCACAGGTCAGGGGTGACTTGGTGTTTGTGACCCCTCTGGCACAGGGCAGGTGATGCCAAGGAGAAAGGACTCTTCCCGAAATAGACAAGAACTAGAGACCCTAAGTCATTGCCTTTTGCAGCAAGGTGGGGGATGGGATAAGACAGGGTCTTAGGTAGCCTAGAGTAACCCAGAACTTGCTACGTAGCCAAGGAAGACCTTGAAATCTGGATTCTCCGCTTCTGTCTCCTGAGTGCTGGGGTTGCAGAAATGTGCCCCGCACTCCACTAGTCATGGTCATTTCTGTGGACCCGTATGAAGAAGGAATCCACCAGGCATCATGCACTCCCGACACCACCTAGCACATAGTGAGCCGGTGCATCTACCTCCCTGTGCTGCTGTATCAAAGCAGCACAGGTTGGACAACTTATACAGCAGAAACTTCCTCATTTTTCTCAATACTGGATCACGAGTCACAGAATTGGCTTTTTTCTTGGCCTTTCTCCTGTGGCTTTTAAATGCCCTCGTCTCCCTGTGTCTGTGTGTGTCTTTTTACTACATCCTATTTTCCTCTCACAAGAGCCCAGGCAGAGCTGGGCGTAGTGACACACTCCTTTAATCCCAGAATTTGGGAAGCAGAGACAAATAGATCTCTGTGAGTTCAAAGCCAGCCAAGTCTACATAGTGAGTTTCAGGACAGTCAGAGATACATAGTGAGACCCTGCCTCAAAAAAAAAAAAAACCAAAAACCCAGTCAGTTCCTGTTGTCTATATACATCACCCTCACCATTTCATCAAGCCAGCCACACTCTGCCTCCCCCCAGTATATATACAGTCCCCTCTGCTCTGCCTCATCCACACCAGCCACCCAGGTGGCATCATTATCTTGAACTATAGCCTTCCCCTGCCACAGAAGCTACTGCCCCAATAGCACAGGCTTGCCTGTAGCCTCTCCTCTCTGCTTTCTCCCATGCCCTGTCCCTCCTTAGTCGAGAAGGTGGACTGGTCAGCCTTGTATTTTTGTAGGTACCCCTCTTGCTCACCAGCTAGGAACCAAGCTAACTGTACAGAACCTGAGCAGCCCAAGCCCACCACAGACTCATATTTCATCTTTCAACGTTAAATACCTGCTATGCCGATGAACGCTGGAAAGCTTCATGCCGTGAAGGGTGTAAATACCGCCCTCCAAACCAGAATGTAGAGAGAAGAGAGAGGCGGAATCCAGAGGGACTGGGGCATTGTGTGCCATCACTGCAGTGATTCAGTAACACAACATAGAAGAGGTTCTGGAAGGACACTCAAGTGTCCATCCTTTCTTTAGACTCTTGAAACAAAGCACCCCAAGGCATTGGGGGTCCCCAGGAATCCCCTGCTGGAGAAGGAAAAGGCTGAAGCCTGGGGCCAGTCAGTGGGAGAACTTGTCGCCCTGGTAGATGGTTCACATAGGCCTGACAGCTTGCCTGACTGCCGTGCTGGGTGGAACCACACCGTGACCGGAACTGTTTCACACCTCTGGTCCTTTAAACCTCAAAGATGGGTGTGAAGCAAGTCACTGGGTCTCCTGGCTCCTCTCCTCAATGTGACCACATTTAATACATTTCCTTTGTCTGCTTCTCATCATTTTTTGTTTGACTTACTAAAGACAGGTGGTTGAACTTAACTTGCTGCAGCGGGGACCCTGGCGCTGACCCTTAATGACTCTCTTAACACTGTCACGGAGCTCTGGGGACCAGTCCAACTTTCCGCCCTTCCTGTTTCCCACTCATCTCCAGCAGAATCCCGACTCAAACAGAAATGTCCCCTCTCTACAGTGTTTCCAGAGGCATTGCCTTCAGTTTCTCCACAACCACTACCAGTCACCCCATGCTTCCCAGGTGAACCCATCCACGCCCCTCCCTCCCCACTGCCTCCATTCCTACACTCAGCAGTTACTACTGTAATGCAGAAATATTTATCAGCCACTGTTCCAGAGGCAGAGGACAGAGAAGAGGGCAACACGGTCTAAAATGCCTGCTTTTTCTGGAGCAGGTAGTCCCGCCCAAGAGTAGCAAGACCTTGCCTAGAAAGAAGGACAAGAAATCGTATCTCCCTTCCTTTCAAAAAATGTGTAAAACACTGCAAATAGATAAATGTCACATATATCATAAAATATTCGTGTGTGTCATTTATAGTCTTAACACATTTTAAGATACTTATGACACATAAAAATGAATGTATATATGAAATAATAAATGTGTAAGGTTTGGGTATAATTTCATGATATTTATATGTATATCACCTATACAATACACACATCTATGCATGTGTTCCTTTGTGCACACACACCAATTGGTAGTAAACACCAAAATACGAGTGAATGAGAGGGAAATGTGGTAGGGAGGGTCTTGCTGAGAAAGTGACCTTGAGGTGGTGGCCAGCACTGGGCTGTGTGTTATATGGGAGAGAACAGGTTATAGAGGTATAGGGGAGCCCATGGGAGAGTCGGGGGGAGTGAGGCTGCTGTGCTTGGGGCTGGCAGGTAGGGCCATGTGCCTGAAGTAGTTGGAGAAGAGCAAAGAGTGACCAGAGTCAGGAGTCTCAAATGCCAGACTCTGAGCAGAGAAGATCTATTGCACCTGTGTGGTAACGCAACCTCTCTGGCTGCTGGGCTTTCTCTCTCTCTCTCTCTCTCTCTCTCTCTCTCTCTCTCTCTCTCTCTCTCTCTCTGTGTGTGTGTGTGTAGGTGGTGGCTGCGGGGACAGTTTGGGGAGGGGCAGTTGAGAAAGGCAGCGATTAAGAACTTCGGTGCTAGCCTAGCACATGGAATTGCAGCACTCAGGAAACAAGGCAATTGGGTTGCTAATTGAAGACCAGCCTGCGCTACATAGAGAAACTCTGTCTCAGAGTTCACTGCTGACTGACACGCTACATTGGTGAGGCTACTGTAGCATTCAGAGGTGGAAGCTAGATTCCATCAGAGCTCAGAGAAGAAACAATACAAGCCGAAAGGGCCTCTTTGATCCCTGCGCTTCTAGAGCTTACCTGTAAGTCTCATGTGCTCACACAGGAACTGCTTTAGGACCCGGTTTTCATAGTCTTCAATGCTCATCTTATTCAAGTGCGTCTTTGTGCCGTTTGTCCTAAGCACTTTAAGCTCCTAGCCGGCTAGGGCAGCCCAGTCATGTTTCCTTGGCATCTCACCATACTTGATCAGGTTTCTGCTACCTCCAGTTCGCCGATCTAAAGACAGGTATGTCTAACTGTTTTTCCCCCCCCCCCCCCCCCATCTCTCCCAACAGGTCACTATGTGCATGGCATCTGCATCTATGGAAACGGAGACTTAAAATGGCTAATAAATTCACAGAGCCTATTTGCTAACAAATTTGAGGTCAACACGTACCCTTTCACTGTGGAATGCCTGGAGCTGTGGCTTCGAGAGAGAACCCTCAATCAGAGTGAGACCGCCATACAACCCAGCTGGTATTTTTGATCCACAGCAGCTCTGGCTGGAAGGGAAACAGAAGGGCGTAAAGCGGAGACTTCCTCTCCAAGAGACCCTCGCCTTGCCTATGCAGGAGGCTTCAAGAACTGGTTTCAGGAAAATATCAGGACCTGGCTTCACGACTATGCTTAAGTTATCCACTGGACACTGTGATCCACTGACAGGGTGGCAGGGTGTAGCTGTCCTGCCATTTTTAGCTAGTCTGGTCATTTCTTTTGAAGGTCTCTTCTGCGTCTTCTTTTTTAAAGACAGGCTCTTGCTGTATATCTCTGGCTACCTTGCTTCTTGCCAGGTAGCCCAGGATGGCCTTGAACTCTGATCAATTCTCCCACCTCGCACCCACCAAGTGCTGCTATTACAAGTGTGTGCAAACACACCTGGCTCTGCTGTCTGGCAGTCACCTGATGCCACTGTTGTGGTCGATGATAAATTTAAATGCATCAGCTCTTTGTGCCAGATACTGATATTAGTATATCCTGCTGGAAAGGAGAATGGTGGGTGGTACTATCTAAGGAAATCAAAACTTGGTTTATTGGAGGAGGAAGCGTTCATAATCACCTTTGCAGCAACTATGTGCCCAGCCATACATAGGCGTAGAGATGGCTTTCTAGTAACTTACCAATTTCATTTAATTGGGAAGGAATCGACTGCGGTGGTGCACGCCTTTAATTTCAACACTCCGGAGGCAGAGGCAGGCAGAATCTCTGAGTATGACTCCAGCTTGGTCTATGGACTTGAACTCCATCTCTAGCGTCACAAACAGACCTGTGAACACGGACATTCTCAGTTTACTTGTGTCTGAAGTTGTGTGTATAGTACAAAAGCCATTAACATGCGACAGAACATGTCCTGAAGACAGGAGACACTCTGTGGCTGCAGGAAGAGGACCTCAGGGATGCCGGGCGTTTCCATGTTCTATTCCAGAATGTTCTCTTTCCCACCAAGAACCCTGAAACAGCCTCAGAGGAATGAAGGGATTCTTTCTTCCCCACGGGAAAGGTGCTAGTGTGTGGATCTGGAGACCGTGAATAGCTCACTTCTGGGGTTCCATTTTCTATGTGAGAGATAGGGGCCCAGTTCTCTTGTACACAGCTTTAACCACACCAGGACAGCCTCCAGGTAGCTTGCAAGGATTGGTGCTGACAGGAGTTCCTGAATACTTAAGAGCTTGATTGTAGGTGGGC